CCAAAACACTGTTAGTAATCAGCCTATCCTTGATGAATGCAGACTGGGGCCCAATGATAATATCCAGTAAGACTACTTTTAGTCGTTCTACAAATACCTTGGTAATAATTTTATAAAGGCTTGAAAGCAAACTTATGGGCCTCATATCACAAAGGCTTGCAATGACTACTTTTTTGAGAATAAGCACTATATAGGAGGAATTGACCTCTCTAAATAGTTCACCTCTTCTTATGAAATCATGGACCATTTCCAGCACTTCACTATAAACCAGACTCCAGAATTTATGGAAAACAAAAGAGGGAAACTATCAGGGCTCAGTGCCTTATCACCAGGGAGGGAGAAGACTGCTTTTTTCACTTCTTCACACTTCTTTCTCAAGTAGAGCTATCATACCATCCGACATGCATTTAAAACTCACTCTGGCTAACTGCGGAGTAACCCCCACCTCCGTAGTGAAAGCTCTTTTGAAGTGGTTGACAATCGCAATAGACATCCCATTGTCATCATCTGGATCAATTCCATTAATCAAAAGCCCAGAGACATCATTCTGACGTTTCTTATCATTTGCAATGGCATGGAAGAATTTCTTATTTAAATCACCTTCTTTCAACAATTTGACCCTGGATCTCTGCTTCCAATACCTCTTCTCAATCCTACGGAGCTCTTGTAATTCATTTGATTTAGAGCTTCTTTCCAACACCTGCTCCTCAGATAGTACTCTTGAACTTTGGATGCTAGCATCCACATTTGCTAAGCATTTAATAACTTCATCAATTTTATGTTTCACATTGTAACTCTTATCAATTTTCCAAGCAATACGCTTATGCTTGACACTTAAGAGCTTCTTATGGAGTTGAAAATCAACAGAGCCAAATGAGATAGAGTTCTCCCAGGCACTTTTAATAATGTTTTCCACCCCTTTTTCAACAAGCCACCCAATTTCAAATCGGAAAGGTTTGGGACTGATAGGATGAGCTTTACAACACAGAAGAATGGGAGTATGGTCAGAGCAAAGTCTAGGTAAAGCCCTAATCGCTGCAAAGGGAAAGAATTCTAATCACTCCCCATACACCAAAATCTATCCAATTTGGACATGGATAAATTGAGGAACTGCCATTAGTCAAAGTAAACGATATGCTTGAAATGGGCAAATCTATCAGGGCGTGGGACTCAATAAATCTATTAGACATTCGCAGGACAGACGTAATAGGTCCACCATAGCTGCTTTCTTCAAGCCACCTAATGAAATTAAAATCCTCTCCCAAACAGATAGGAAAAGAAAAACTACTAATGAAATCAAACATATCATTAATAAAAAGTTCTTTTTGAGCCAAAGCATGAGGATCATAAACATTTAATAAGCCCCAATGAAAGTCAGAACCAGGCCCCAATAAACCAACCATAAAAATTTTTTCTTTTTTCACAGAGCAAAAAGAGAGCAAAACAATGGGATCCCACAAAATCCACAATCCCCCAGAAGCACCTACATAGTCAATACCTAGAAAATCAACAGACTGAAGACCCCAAATTTCCCTGACACCAAAGATGGTGGGACTAGGAAGTTTTGTTTCTCGAAAAATAAGATCTGCAGGCCTAAAACGAGAAACAAAAAATCGAACACCTCTCTTATGATTGAGGTCACCCAGACCTCAAACATTTCATGGCAATATATTCATGAGATTAGAGAAGAGGAGGATGAACCTGGACCATCCCTACTCGCACCAAAGACAACCTCTTCAATAACTATCTTCAAGTCATTGTCCAGAGCTTCTTCCCCATCTGAAGAGTGCCCCTAGCTGTCCTCGACAACCTGTTCATCAGAAATAACAATACCTCTAGCAATCAGAGGAGCATGCAACACTCCCCGAGCCTGCAACCTTGCCAAAGACCTGATACCCTTCATAGGAGATTTGCCCTTAGACTTAGACTTATGCACTTCAGCCACCGGAGTCTGAGCCGTGCTCACATACTTTTGTGACTTGCATCCTTCTTCCCTTTTTTCTCACCTTTCTTTTTCGCGATAATTTCTTTGAGCACAACATCAATAGGGGCATCAAAGTCCATGCCACAGTCAGAAACCCTGGATGAAATTCCTCCCCATTCTGTGATTTTCCTCCAGAGGATAGCTCCACAGGTCGACCAGCTGGCACAACAGACAATGGCTAACCCCATCTAAGGGAGCAGCAGTAAGGTTTATAAGCAATGGCCTATCCTCTTGTTGTATAACATTGAGAGGGGTGGAGATGGCTGTTTCCACCAATGCACGACCAGGGTCGTCAACAAGTAGCCCACCAATACCGTCAACTTGAGGACCTTATTCCAACATATCAGAAACCAATTCTCTCTCCTTCAAGTCACAACTATCCTCTGCCTCATCAACCATCACCACAGCTAAAGGGTCAACTGACAAGGATCAAACACCGGTCTGGGTGCAAAACGAGCCTTCCTAGCAGCACTGCGATGGAATAGAGGATACATCTTGGCAGCAATAGATTGAAGGCCAACGCAGAGCACCGACTTTGACTTGCCATCAACAAGGTCAGAAGCCACACAACTAGGCTATGAGAGGACTTACAGGTTTGCGTAACCGCCTGCTTACCTTCTAAAAGGAAGAAAAATGAAGGCGGTCACTTCCTAAAGACATGCCTCAATGAAAAGCCTGGGCACATCTCCACGCAACCCATCTCCGAGGGCGGCGCCTCGGTGTGCAGCACTGACGTGCTATCAATCGCGCTCAACTTATTCGGTGAATTCAGCATCTCGCGTGGACCCTCGGCATATGAATCATCACGTAGTCCCTCAGCACGTGAATCGTCACCAGTTTTCACAACCGTAGATGCCATTTCCGTCGTAGGACATGTGAAACGCCCCACTGGAATCCATCGTTTAATTAATTTCAAATTTCAAAAATCCCTCCTCTTGTTCTTAGAATTCCACCATCTTCTCTGGTTAGGAACCACCTTATCAAAGTCTCCCTGAAAAGCATGGTTTTCCGATGGCCGGCAACTGACCTCCCGCCAATCTCCATTGTCTTCGGCAGCCTTATTGACTGGTAATAACTTAGTGCCTCTCTTCTCCTCTATAGAAACTTTTATAGAGAAGGACCCTTAGCCCACCAAAAGTCTTAACCACTTTTGGGATTGGAGCGCCACACAACTTCCAAATACGAATTTGTACAAAACAGAGATCAACCCTTTGAAGCGATTCTTTGTCAGCATCACAAAACTCGCCACAGTTATTAGCTAATTTACGACATGTATCCACCGATCATGCATGGAGTGGTATACCTTAACATCTGATCCACAGACTCTCCTTACGTAGATAAGAAGAGTGGGATGACGATTTCCATTGAACTAGCGATAAGAGCTTCCCTCGAATCTTGACACAACGATTAACTAGAGCAGCTAAAGCATCCTCTTTATCAAGCAAAAGAAAGGCAATCTTATTCTCACCCAAGACTTCAACCTTTGGAGCATAAGGCAGTCGTCAGCATCTTTTGGCCCAATCACTCAATCCAAAGATATCATTCGAGGTAGAGAAAACGATCCCACAATAGAAAATTGCGCATCTGAAAGCAAACCACCTGAGAGGTCAAACCGCCCTGCACCACGGGAACCACACCGCCATCCTCCTCACCATCAACATCCCCATATACTTCTCCCACCACACCTCTCTCTCACCATGGCATGTATTTCCAATGAGGTTGAACTACATGTCTACATGCAATCAGACTTGCAAACTTGTTGGAGCTTCTGATAATGAGATAGAAACACCTTGTGCTATTTTTCGCTTTTGTTTTTCTCCTGTTCCAAGGATTTCTGCTCTTTGCTCTGTTACTCCCCATAGTCATCAATGATCCAATGAAAGCCCTAGATACAACTTGCAAATACACGTTTCCGCGGCTGCAAAGCACAAAGAACCTTCGCCACTTTTAGCAGTAGCCTGTTCTCTTTCTAATGCAGCATTTGCTTATGAAAACCCTTGATCCGCCCTGCAAATGCTAGTTTCTCAATAGGAAATCAAAAGTAACGACTCTTTAACTTTTCTTATATTTTTATTCTCTCTTTACATTCGCTATTTGATCCTCGTCGTCAAACCCTAACCCGATCCTGCAAATCCAAGGCTCCTTTCGCAGGACGAAAGCCCCAAAGAAACCCTATAGTGTTCGTCCTCTACTTACTCTCTCTCTCTCTCTATTCGCCATGTCCACTTCAAATGATATTAATTCGAACCAACATCGAAGCCAAACTCCAAACCTGATATGGATTTCTTGGCCGACACTTGGCTACGACCCTCCTCAAGTTTTATGTATATAGAAGATAGAAGAATTGCTCGAGAGAGTAAATAGATATGTGGGAGAGTAATCTTTGGATTTCTTACCTTTTCATATGAAAATAGTATTTCCGATATTCTTGTGAAATCTGATGCGAAAATTGATTGCTTGGATTAGTGTTCGAAAAATCAAATCGGAACGGTTAAATAGACATGGGGTTGGAAGTGGTTCAATGCCTGTTAACAGTTTGGTTCAACCGTCCTAACCGGGCAAGTCTTGGGCGGTAAAAAAAAATGTTTTAAAAAAATCTAATGAAATATAAAAAATATATTTAAAGCATGATTAAACAAAGCACCTCCAAATGAAGTTAAAAATTAATAGAAAAAAATAGATTTTGTCGATTTGCTTTGCATCCAAGGGTATTTTGAAATTTTCAAAAAAAATGAAAAAAAATGTAAAAATAAGCATAAATTGCTAAAACAATTTTTAATCTTTTTCAAAATGATGAAAAATATTAAAAAATACATTACAAGCAAAATTCTTTAGTTTTTTGAGTTTAATATAATTTTTTTCCAAAACTTTTTCAAAATAAAAGGCCGGTTCAGATTTAACCGGGCTAACCGAGGGTAGAATTTGAACAATTTTCCTACACTGGCTTGGATCCACCAAAATATCGCTCCTGCTCCGTTTTCCTTAAACCCTAAACCGCAAAAAAAATATCACTCGGCGTGGGTTGTTTGTCTTTGCTTTCCTTCTCCACTATAAATATCCTCCTCCCACCTTATCTCATTGCTTCCCATTTCTCATTTATCTCCTCTCCATTTCTCCTGGTTACTCCAAGCTCTCTAAAATGGCGTCTTCAGTCTCCGCAATTTCTCTCTCTAAGACCCTAATTTCCCCTTCGTACCTATCTACAGCAGCAAATCCTAGGTCTTCCTCCCCTTCAACTTTAGTCCCAGTTTCTCGCTTTCTCCGTCCTTCGTCCTTCGGATTGAAGCTGCTGCCTCTGGCCTCCTTTCAGACCAAGACGGTTAATGGTCTTATGGTTAGAGCCACTGTTGATGGCGATTATTCTTCGAAAAGGAGTAGTAGCAATGAGCCAAGAGAGACCATTCTTCTTCCTGGTTGTGATTATAACCACTGGCTTATAGTCATGGAGTTCCCTAAAGACCCGAAGCCTACCAGAGAGGAGATGATCGAGACCTATCTCAACACTCTTGCCACCGTTCTTGGAAGGTCTGGTTCCTTTTCGTCTTCATTTCGCTTCATTCTCTTTTTACTCTCTTTGATTATTTTGTTTTATTGGTCTTGGAACAATTGCGACTTCTATAGAAATGTGCTGGTTATCTCTAGTTTTTGCTTTAGCAAAATGCCGAGATGCTCTTGCTCTGTAATATTTGTTGGACAATTACAATTTTCAGATACCTCTAGATTTGTACTTAAAATATTCCACTTCCTACTGTTTCTCAAAAAAAAAAAAATCCCACTTCCTAGTGTTTCTCAAAAAACAAAAATCCCACTTCCTACTGTATTTTGAATCTGTGGAAGATTTATGATTTCTATCTGGGATAATTGTTAGTAGGCTATCAAGATAGTGGTGAAATGTTGATGATATCGCTTTATTGTCGTCCCCTATAACTGTTAGTTCACTGGATGGAAGAAAAATGTTATGTGCTCTACTGTTCTTCTTCCATTTTTTTTTTTTTGCTTTTTATTTTCCAGTATCAGTAAAATGTTTGTTGTAACTTTGAAGACAAATCATGAGATGAATATGTATTACACGTAACTATTTCTTTCCTGGGAACTCACTCATTTTAATGTTTTCTTTATCTCTTGTAATAACCAAAAGCTTGTGGTGGGATATGCACAAATATAAAAGACAACAAATATGCAAGTTCGGAAACTGGAATAATGATGTATACTAAACTTATTTTGTACAGCTTCCTTTCTCTATCTTTTGTGCAGTGCCTTCCATACTAGTTGGATTGCTTTATTCTAAAAATATGTGGCGGTATAAAAAGTATAGAAGCATGCTTTTGTAATTTTTTACATATGGAGGAGATAAAAGATTCTAAATTGGCACAGAGTATTCATAGTTTAATTTTGTTATGGGAATACCCATATTTTGCATTCCTGGTTCTCCTACCTCTAGTGTACAACCTTGAAAATGCTTGCAAGATTGAGAATTAAGTGGTTATTTACAGTGGTTTTGGCTTCTAGTTTTCCACTTTGACCTTTTTAACTAAAACTAATGTGTTCCTTGAGGTCTTTTTGTTCATACATTCGGCTTAAAATTAAATATTGATGGATATTGGGGCGTGTCATTTCCATTTCTATTTCAATTTTCTTGTACATGAATGGTATATTTCTCACTTCGGGGGAAAAAGGAAATACTTGTTTTGTAGCAAATCAGATTGGAATGTCTAAATTCTTTAGAGAAAGTGAAACTATACGGTTTATCTAAAAATGATTGATTTTCTTTTGCTGTTCAATTGTTCATAAAGTTATCCAAAATTTTTGTAAAGACTCCATGGTTTCTCAAAATGGTTTGCTTTAAATTTTGACTGTGAAGCACTAAATTGAATGAGCTTTGATAAATTACAGGGTCTATATCTAGTAATTGTCTTCTAATGGGTATGATTAAGATTCCAACTAACAGGGTCTAATGTGTGCCTTGAGTAATGCCTTTTATTCCATTTACAATGATGATGCACACTGCAGTCAATGTTTACTGGGTACTCCAGGCTTTATTTGGTGTTGCCTGATGACACTCTCGGATATAGGCTGGGCACGTTGTTCGTATGTGTCGGGGACTTAAGAATCAGATACTACCTGACATTTCTGGTCATATGTGTCGTCATCTAAAGATGCAGTATCGGTATTAAAAAAAAAGTAAAAAGAATTAAGTGCTCATGGTGGAAACAGACCGACAACCTCCTAATAAAAGGGTAACCATTTTGTCACATACACTCTGACCATATGGTGGTAGAAAAATATGTTAATTTAGTTTTACTCTAGCTTGAAATGACAAACTTTCTTGGGAAAGCTAAACAATAAATTCCCCTACTGAGACAGGGTTGATTTATTGAAAGTTTAACTTCTTTATAGGGATGTGAAAATGGTCCCTCAACTTGGCTTAAAAGCAAGATTTACCGAGAAGCTACCAATACATTTGGTATGTGTTTAGTTAATTAATACTTGTAAAAAAAAAAAGCATCACAGATTGTAAAAAAAAGGAGCAAAATAGAAATAAGAAAGTTTTTATTTTTTTGTAAGAAACAAATTTTCAAGTTTTAGTTTTAATTTTTTGTAATCTTTCTTAAATTCATATATAACACACATAGAATATATGAAAAATCTTCATATAAGTACTTTTATAGAAATGTTGGGTCCATACGGGGTTTTTGGGCCGAAGTATTGGAAACTGAAAAACTTGTACTAGATTCGTGCTGATGTCCATGTAATGCTGCTTTTACTTAAAATGATATTGATTTCAATGTTTTCTTCTTTCTGTTTTTGTTTTTTCTTTTTCTTGTAGAACTTGGATTTTTTTTTTGACTTAAATATATTTCCTTCATTTTTATCAGATGATATTTAAGGGGGATTTGTTCCCTCTTACTTTTGGGAGCATTTGAATTGAATAAAATACTAAGTTCCCTTTAAATGTCTGATCTTTCATACTAGGTCTGGCAATGTATGGTCCAGCCCAGCCCTAATAAAAATAGGGCCTGGGTCGGGCTAGGGCCAATGCTGGCGGGGTTTATTTATTTTCTCTTCATTTGTTTTTGGCCCAGCCTTATGGGGACAAGGGTCGGGCTGTGGCCAAGGCTTGCCCAGCCAGGCGCCCCGGCCTGGCCCGGCCCGTTGCTGCCCTTATTTCATACCATTCTTCATTGTATGTTTTGTTTTGCTAGGGCAATAGAATACTTGATTGCCTCTTTTTTCTTTTTTTCTTTGAAGATTTTGAGGTTTGGAGGATTGACATTTGGTAGGTTGAGATAGTTTGTAGGTATTTCTCGGGTCTATGGCACAGTCATCATACTTGACAAGGATGGGCTAAAACGTTTTGAGTTGTTTTGGTCTTTCTTTGAGTAATAGTCCATTCCAATTGTGGCATTCACATCAATGTTATTAGTTTTCCTTTGCTTTTGCTCGAGAAGCCAATGACTTGAGCTTTAGCATGCAGCGCAAAGCAAGAGATGATAGACTTTATCAGCAAATTTTCAGCTGTTCATGTCATTTTCATTTTATCCTTTTCAACTTGTTTGGCTGGAATTCTCTGCGCAACTATGATGTAACTCTAGCCCAAAAGGACCAAATCTCTTTCTCTTGTGCTGAGACTGATAGTGGATTCCTTATCCATAGTATAAATGTTTTTGGTTAAATTTCTTATTTTGATATGGAGAAAACATTTTTTCTCAAATAGCTGATAAATTTTTAATTGAACAGTAATAATTAAATATTCTAAAATGTACATTATGAGGAATTTCCTTCACCTAGGACTTCTGGCTGGGTCTTAGGTTCCCTATGACGGAGATTTAAGACTTGGGGCTATTTTGCAATCTCTGTAATTCTCCTATTAGAGGGAAACTTTTGATTCTCTTTCTATTGATTGTGTTTTTTATTGGCAGTATAAATTGTTGCTGAATATGTAAAACTGAGGGTGATTTTGATGTTGAATTATTGCTATTACTAGTTGTGAGTTTTTTTTTTTTGTAGTACTAATTGTTAGGTGATGGTTGTTTTATCATTGGTTTGTTATGTATAAAAAATTTAGTGACTAAGTGTCTGTTTAACAATATTAATATCTGATATGTATATCATAGAATCTGGCCCCTTTTCTTTTTTTAATGTTTTCTCCCAAACTTTACTTGCCCTGCTCAAAGGACAGTTTGTGTTTGCAGTATGGAGGAAGCCAAGAAGAACATGTATGCTTTTAGTACCACCACTTATACTGGCTTTCAGTGTACTGTCTCAGAAGAAACATCAGAGAAGTTTAAGGGTAAGTTTTACCAGAGATTGCATATTTAAGCTAACTTCATTATGAGTATCTGAGGATTGTGTTGTGTTGTCACTTAACAGGATTGCCTGGAGTTCTCTGGGTTTTACCAGACTCATACATTGACGTGAAAAACAAGGATTATGGAGGTGAAAATCTTGGATGCTTATGGGTGTCTATGCCTTAGGCTTTGTTGCATTTTGCACTACTATGGGATTTGGGCTCGTCTCTTAATGTTTCCCTTTTGTTGTTGTTTCCCTTTTTCAGGCGACAAGTACATAAATGGTGAGATAATTCCCTGCACATATCCTACTTATCAACCCAAGCAACGCAGCAATTCAAAATATGAAAGTCGAAGGTATGAAAGGCGAAGAGACGCTCCCCCTCCAGAGCGAAGAAAACCTAGACAGACTGTGCCTCAGTCTGATTCATCTTCAGAATGAGGTAACTGAGGCTTTCAAGTACTCTTTGTGAAACTTGGTGCCCTTCCCTTGAACTTCTCTGAGGTCTGATTCCTCTTTATTAAATGATACACTTGCAGGGTACTAGTATATTTCTGCAATATAACTAGGATCTTATATCAATGGTTTGGTTGCAAATATTGGAGGCTGAAATAACTCTTCAATCTCTTTAGTGGAAATCAATTGTTTTATGGGTTGATGGGGGACATTCGGTGGCTTGAGTAAGTTGCAGTAACTCATGCCACTATGTGGGGGTTGCTTCAATCTATGTTGTTAGGTTGATTTGGAGTTCCTGCTGGTCCATGTTCATATTTAGTCTGATTTAGCTTGTGGTGTAGTTATGGTTCAGAGAAAACAGTAACTATGAGTTTGTTTTATAAGGGTCCTTTTTTTTTGCCTGAGGACATATAGCTAAGTTGTATGGTCTACCGTTATTTGCTTATGTATTTTTCTCTTGTGACAATATGTGACTTCTTGAATCTAGACTGTCTTCCTTTACTTTCTCGATAAATTCATACTGTGGTCATAGTTTTGAATGCTTTGCCATTGTGGGGAACTTCATTGTTCTCTTTTTCAATAAGTCTCTCTTAGGACTTTGATCTTGGAGTTTAGAAAATGGCTACTTTCAACGAACTTTTTATGTTCAGCTTCTTACCCTCCTTTACCACTGTCATGGATCTTCTATGACTATGGGTGTTCTATGGGTTGGGTGTATAGCAACATGCACAAATGGTTTTAAGTATTGAAATCATATTTGCTAATGTGAGTGAGACTCTTGCGGTTCTTAATTGGCTCTTTCATCTTAATTGTATTGGTTGCAAATCACTAATGCTTGATTTGCTTTAGATTTCTGTAGCTGTGTGGCTAGAAAAAGCATTAGTATGATCTTTAACTTGAGCATGATGTAATGAATTGAAAATCAAGATGGAATACCTGCAAATTTACCCAAGTCTTCCTAAGCCTACCTGTCCTAGGAAGAGGCCTCCATCGCTATCCATGGTGAGACTTGTAGTTTGTTCTGATTTCAAATTTAGTTGAAACTCCACATGGCATTCATGCGTTATTTTCAGTTCTTATTGGTCTCAGGATCATGCCATTCCCTTGGGGGTTTAAATGGTAGCATGATTCTTGCCATAAGGATCTCAAGGGTCGAAATTCCAGGCATAGAATGGCATGAATTGACACCTAGTTTGCAGGGTCATTTACCTGAGTTTTGTCCCTCGAGAAACTCATGCAGTTTTCCACGAATCTTGAATGTCTTAATCTTTGTAATCCAAAGCCTTGTAAACCACACCCGCCCCCTTTTCCCCTGTTTTTGGATGGTCTTGAATCCTTAAGCTCCACCCACCAACTGATCGCCTTCCACCTCAATTATTGTCGATCCAACTTGTGCTTCAACTTCCAGGGGTACTCCCACCAATCTAGTTGTGCTTTATGAGGACACATTCTGGCCTGAATTTGATCTTGGAATCTCCATTCCGAGTAGTTCTGTTCAATTCGACTTTTGTTTTATCACTTTAGATCTGTGTTTTTCGAAGTACAATCACCATCTAGGTGTTATGTTGGGGTAACCCAACACATGTTTTGCAGAGCCTCACTTTACCGTCGGAGTCCAGTTTTTTTTGAAGAACCTTCTCTCTTTCTAGTCCTCGCAGACCTTCTGAGACATACAAAATCCCTAGGAGGTAGCTCTTATCGGGGAGCCCCTAGGTTCTTCTTGCCCTTGGGCAGGTGTGGGCCGGAAGTCAAGGAGATGCATGAACAAGTGTGAGCTGCGGGAGAACATCTTTCTCATTTGATGCTTATGTTAGAACATCTTTCTCACTCGACTGGTGCTAGATCAATGGAACTCCATAAACTAGCTGAGCACTCAAGGAAAATCGGTAAGCTCATGGCTTTGCCCAATGGCGAGATCGACTAACTTATTATTAATAGGCTGGTGTGGACCATATCAAAGAAACTGGCCTTGGGTTGTGGGAAAGAATACAAAAAAATTATACTGCTTGTTGAGAAAGTTTCGTACCCTTAGAGCAACTATCAGGCAAAGTCTTGCCACTATTAAAGCATAAGCATGTCCTTCTCTGTGGCTACTGTTGCTGGGGATCCCACCTTTTAAATCAAGGACACATCAAAGTGGGGCTATTGACAACAGAATCACACCTCCCACCTATCAAATTAAGGACACATCAAAGTGGGGCTATTGACAACAGAATCATACCTATTGTTGGAAAAACCGAGTGATCTAGCCGCTAATCGTCCAGTTAGATTGGAATCAGCCACTGGCGGTTCTGGTTTTGCGCGGTTCTGGTGATTGACCGGTGTTTTACAAAAAATTCAAAAAAATGTATATAAATTCCCAAAAATAAAAAATTTGGTTTGTAATGCATATTTTAGAAAATGTTTTGGTCATTAATATTTGCTTTTATATTTTTCTATCTTTTTTTTTAAAATTTAAAAAATACCTCTAGGCACAAATGAATTTGTTAAAATCCTTTTTTTCATTAATTTTCAAATTCATTTGAATGTGTTTTGTTTTAATCATATTATTTATAGGGTGCGGTTTCTATAAGGTTGCAACCTTAAACAATCCAATTAAGGTGCACTTTAAAATTTTATCATAACATGTAATTTTGTTGTAAAAAATTCTTAGTATTATCTTAAAATCTACTTTCATACCTAATTAGAAAATTTTAAAATCCAAAAATGGTTAAAATCAAGTAGATCTATAAATATATGAAAATCTTAAAAATGGACGGTCTAGATAGTGTGTTGCAAGATGCACTATTTCTAGGACTCAAAAACTTTTTTTTTTCGTATTCATACATCTTGATGTCGAGATGATCGATTAGAGGGCTTTTTCAACATTAAAAAAATATTTCCAATAGATTTTTGCGGTTCATCTGTGATTCTATATTTTAAAGTTGCAACCTTAGTAAAACTTTTCTCTTATTTATATGCTTTTCATATTTTAGTAGATTATGTTTTTGTATCTTTTTTATTATTTTTAACAATTTTTTGATCGCCCGAGACTCGCCCAGTTGGATCGGCCGCTTTACCGGTTAGACCTGTTAAACGCTTCCGGGCCCATGTTCGGTTAACCGTTTTGGTTCGATTTTGTAAACAGTGATCACACCCACAACACGGGATGCCATAGCCTTAGGCACACAGCTGAAGACTTGATAGACAAGGAATCATCAGTGTTAAGGAAAAGGCACGGGATGCCATAGCCTTAGGCACACAGCTGAAGACTTGATAGACAAGGAAGCATCAGTGTCCAAGTTAAAGGCAAGGCCAATCAGGAAATGAGCATTGTCCTAAACACTAATTCCCTTTTGGAAGCCAAGACAGCGACAAGTCTACAACCAGTCTTGTGGCAACCGAAGACAGACCAACATAGAAGTGATGACGTTTTAATGTTAAAGACTTAGGGCTCGAATACCTGAGCCCGCTCATCCTTCCTAGTGAGGACTTAAAAGTCTTGCTACCCACTTAGGAGCCTCACCTACAGGAAGGCCTTGAGCTATTGGGAGGACCACCCTCATAGATTCCCATGGACAAGCCTCGTAAGTGAGAGGAAGAGATAAAACATTATATAGCATATGTGTCATTGACCCGAACACCCCACCCCCTTTGGAACATAAAGTAGACCTTCTGGAGTTGCTCCAAAAACCACCCTCACAGCACCCCATGGACAACCGAGCTAAGTATAGTGAACCAGAGATGGAAGCCCTAGAATCTTGCAGAGTAAGGGGCACATCGCCAATGGATATCCCTTGACCTAAACGGTTCGTCCAATATCTAAGAGGTCTCTACCCCCATAACAGCTGATCATAATGTCGTAGGAGCAGTTGATGAGGTCCAACCCCTGTTTCACTAGTCCCAATACTCCATGGTGGGCCTAAGTGCCAATTTCAGACTCCTTGTCCAGTTATACTCCTCGTCTGAGGGTCCCATCCAAGACAAGAAACAAGTATCAAGGGGTAACACATAATGGGGATAACCTCTGAATTACCCTACATCGAAGCGGAAAGAGGCGTGTGGAAAGGGTTTGGGTGATCACTCCTCTATTTAGAAGAACCAAGCGAGGTGTTGATACCCTCCACATTTGGACTTGCACTCATACAAGCACAATGGTATCCAGACCATCTATCATTCATATGTCTCTAGAATCGCTGGTTAAGAACCAGTGGTAGTGTGGGATCTGGGTGCCAAAAATGGTTTGGGGCAAGGGTCATATTATAAACGCAACCGGCCCGACCATTCCTTTTACTTTCTTGTGCTCCACAAAGGGAAACTTATTAAAATTGTAAAGATCTTCCCAGATCTAAAGAAATTTGGAGAACATTAAGGTAGGCAACAAAATGAAACTCTTTAAACTTTGGAATCAATGAACAAAATTATTAAAGGAGAAAATTAAACAATGACCGAGTCAAATGGACTACGAAACCAAGTCCGGAGAGTGGAAGAACTCAAATGAGGATGCGAAGCCAGACGTCGCTGAAGGGATGTTGGATATCAACCTAGGAGCAAAGGGGAATATGAGGATAAGCAAAATTGAGACCTCAAGGTATCAGGACGATATCTCACGCCCTCCAAGACAAAGGCCTAATGAAAACTCTAAGATGGTGAAGTAAAGGTCATTTTCCAATGACAAGGAGTACTCAATGATGCCTGTTCCAAGGTCTCATCAAAGTTGACCCTCAATAAAATGAGTTAACTAATCATTCGCATTCAAATATCTAGTTCCACCATGCGATTAAACTCTAAAGCCAATCCTACAACATAGAATCTTCAAAAGTTTTTAAGAACTTCAAAGATTGTTAAACAAAACTAAGGTGCATAAGTGATTTTGAAAATGGAAAAAGTTTATATAAAGATGCAACCTTATAATCTAGAACTATGGATGCACCTCAAAAATCCATCGGATGAAAAACCCTTTGATTGATCATCTCGACATCGAGATGTATGACCATGAAAAATAAAAATATTTTAAGTCTCAGAAATAGTGTATTTTACAACATATTATCTACACCATCCATTTTGCAAGATTTTCATATGTTTATAGATCTACTTGATTTTAACCAGTTTTGAAATTTACAATTTTATAATTAAATATAAAAATAGATTTTGAGATAATCTTAAGAAGATTTTGAGATAATCCTAAAAAGATTTTACATCAAAATATATACCATGATAAAATTTGAAGGTGCACTTTACCTCAACCGCCAAGGATGCATCCGTATGCCAACTGCACCCTTTGAAAATTTAGGGATAAACCTAGTTTGGACGTTCCAACTTTTCAATATTTCAAGTTCCATTTAACGTCAGTGCTTTATTTGCCTTTTCAAAAACTTGGTTTCTTTTTTTTTTTTTTTAAAAAAAAAAAATTGGAACTCACTACCAGTGTCTTTTTCTAAACATTCACCCATTTTCGAAACCTTTTCTCAAATGATATTGGAAAAATGGAGGAGTTTGAAAAGTCACCTACAAACTGGATTCCAA